GCAGCTGCCTGCTTTCCCAGAAGCAGATGGGCAGTGGTTCCCACAAAGGGGCTGTGTAGCGCCCGCCCAGGCTGTGGTTCCCATGGCAAGCTCAGGCCCCTCATGTTTCTAATTACTCCTGAGCGCTTTGCTTCCAGCGGCGGGAGCTGGGCCATTCCTGTCCCCCAGCCGTGAGGAGAGAGGTGGGGCACAGACGGTGTGTACATGTCAGGAGAACACTCCAGGACCTGTCAGGTGGCTTTTGTTTCTTTCAGAAAGAATGACGGTTTGTTTCTGTGGGTACAGAGATATGGAGAGGCCGTGAACCCACTCCCAGTGTGCACTCAAAGTTGAGTGGCACTTAGGATATCTGAGCTGGGTGCCACTCTGCCCTTCATGGCCAGAACATCCGTCTCCTCCAGCTGAAAGGATCCCCAGGAATCACCCACCTGCCCTGTCCCCCTAGCCAAAGCCCTGAACCCCTAGACAAAGCCCTGACTTTGACCCACTATTCTGATTTCTGTCACTATAAGTTTTTTGTCTAGGGGTATATGGAAGCAGGGCTCTGTCTTGGGGTGGGCATTTGGGCCTTTGAACCATATCCCCAACACTCCCCTCACTCCTAGTATCTCTCTGAGTTTGAGTTTTGTTGCTGCAGGTCGAGATAAGGGGCATAGGCATGAAGGACAGGGGATTTGGAGACCAGGGAGATGACCCAATGGATAGTGTGCAGGCTTTGCATGTGGGAGCCCCAGGTTTAATACTTGGTCCCACGTGGTCCCTTGAGACCTCTAGAAACCACATGTCCTTTGGAAACAGCGTCTCATTTTCACCACCAGAACTTCCTTCCCCGACCAGGTGAGGAACGAGAAGGCCAAGCTTCTCTTCTGCCTTCATTCTCTAGATCTAAAACCTGGTGACAGATGGAAGGCTGTGGAGCCCTCCCTCCCCTCTGCCCCTGACACTGCCTTTTCTATTGATGGGGAGGCCTCATCGACAAGACACGCTAAAACACAGGCACTCTGACTATACTGGGGAAAGAACTGCTATCCACACCCTGGACACCTTCCCTGGACTTCTGGGTGTACTGCCCCGGTGGACTGGTATGTGCCAGAGCAGAGGGACCATTTGATTGGGGGTGAGTCCCTGGGCCGGCCCCAAGGAACTTTATCTCCCTCACTGCCCCGACTTTCTTCAGATAAGGCTCTGATGGTTTCTGGGTCCTAGGCAGGGCCTCCAAGTTCATGAGGGTGCAGAAAGGAGAACATAAAACTCTTCTGGGCACTTTGTGTGAACTCCTGCCAACTCTATCTGCATCTATCAGGTTAATTGGGGGACCTGGTGTGCCCCTTTTATTCCCTCCCCTCCCCTCCTCATTCACCCCTTTCCTTGCCCTCAGCGCTTCCGGGATCCATTCAGGCTGCCTGGCTGCATTCCTTTCAGCTGCTGCTGGCCTCACCTATATGTGAACGCTCCAGATAGCTCCTTCCCTTTCAGCACAGATGACTTGTCCTGAGCCCAGAGATCACTCACGAGACCATGACCTGGTCAAGAGCTTGGGATTGTTCCCTGACACCACATGGTTCCATGAGCACTGCCAAGGAGTAGTCCCTGAGCATTTGAGTGGGGCACAGAAGCCAAAACAGGAGCAGAAAGACAAAGATGAGCCTTGTCCTGAGTTCCATTTCTTTAGTGTCTGTGCGTGTTGGTTGCCTTATTGATTCATGACAGCATCTCATTGCACTATTAGTCTCTGCATGCATCCCGCACTCTGGGGAGCTCATTTCTCTGCTGATACTTCCCTTTTATTTTTATTATTATCATTATTTTTATTAGCAGTCTTATGTTCAGTTTGGTTTGGGAGCCACCGCCAGCAGTACTCAGGGGGAGATTCTTGACTGGTATTCAGGAGACCAATATGGTGCCAGGAATTGGGCCCAGAGCCTCAAACATGTCAAGTCCACCATGGAGCCACATCCCCAGCTGCAGCTGCTTAATATGGACATTTGGCACACATCAAATTCCAAACCCCCACAGGAGAGAAGATGGGGTGATATTGGAGGGTAGAAGCAGCACATAGAGAAGAGCCAGGGTTCTAAACTTATGTGGCCTTCTACCCTCTTTTCCAAAAAAAATGTCTCAGCACTTCTGAGTCTTGATCTTCTCTAGAGTACACAGACAAAGCACCCCCATAATTACATCTGAGGCTATGACATGCTTCCCCATTCCAGTCATTTAATTATCCCCTCTGGGTCAGGGGAGGGAGGTGTCACCATCCATTTGGGAAAGACTGGAGGAGGGTATCTGGGCATTGAACACTATTGATCGCCTGCTATGTGGAGGCCAGGGATTGAGTAGAAGGGAAATGCCAAGACAAGGCCTGTCCCAGCTCTGTGTAATGGGAGCCAATCACTCCTTCTTGTTTTGCTTGTGAAAGGGGAAGTTAAACTTTCCTGGGATGGAGACAGTTGGGTGAGGTTGAGCAGGGAGCGTGGGGAGCTGGGCAGGTGTGGTCCTCTGGGAAGCTGAGGGGCAGCAGACTCAGCTCTGTGCCTACTGTGACCATTCATCCTTCCTGTTCACTCTCACCCTTCTCAAATCACCACCCAAAGAGAGTGATGTGAGCTGATGTGAGTTGGCTAGCTTCTTTGTGTGAGCCATCTCTGTGAGGTAAGTGCAGGCCCACTCTACTGACAGAGAGACTGCAGTTCAGGATAGCAAAGGAGCAGGCCTAGGACCATCCCCTGAAGATGCAATCTAGGCTTTAGACCCTCCCTGCCTTCCCAGCACTGAGCTTTGTTGCTGCATGTTAAGATGAGGGACATAGGCTGGAAGAATGCAGAAGATACAGCCTCTCGGTGGAGGAGATACAGGGGCCACAGGATGGCTCAGTGGATAGTGTGCAGGCTTTGCATGTGGGAGCCCTAGGTTTAATCCCTGGCCCTACATGGTCCTTTGAGTTTCCAGCACCACAAGATGTGATCACCCAAAGGGAGGCAGGATGATCTTTTATCGACTGGGACTGAGAAAAACTCCAAGAGGCAAAAGCTAGTCCTGAACTGCTTCTACTGAACTCCGAGTCAGCATGGGTATGACCAGGGAGTATTTTTGTCTGTTTCATTTTGGGATTACGCCCAACAGTGCTCAGGGATTAATTCCATCTCTGTGTTTGGGGTTCACGCTCAGTGGTTCTGGGAACTATGTGGTGCCAGGGATGGAACCCTGGCCTCTAGTGGTACAAAGCATGTGCTCCAGCCCTTGAGCTAACTCCCCAGGCCCGATGGATGACTTTAAGCCATTAATCTGCTTCTACAAAAGATCTCAAGAAGGAATAAAATTGATGCACGTTATCACATCCTTAGTAAACATTCATTCATGCAAAGGATCCTGTCTCATAAACCAGACACTGGAAATGTGGGACTGGAGGGAAGATCATACCTCCTTCTTCTCACTCCCTCCAGCTCTCCCCTTCTCACTCCCACCACACTTTGCCTCCGTGCACTAGGGCACACCCCACATAAGGAGACTACAGGGAGGTGAGGGGCAGACTAGTATCAGGAAACAACATGGAGGCTCAAAGGGCAGGTATGTGTGTTTTGCATGCCGGAGCCCTGGATTCTATCCCCAGCTCTGCAAGATTCCCCAAGCTCCATGGGGAGTGAGCCCTGAGATCTGAGCTGGGAACAGACACTGCAAAAGTCTATTTTGAAAAGAGTGGTGGCTGCACCACTGATGCCTCAGCCCTGCCTGGAGGGGTCACAAGAGCCCATGGGACCAGTGTGTCCCCTACTCTGCAGCAGGGAGCAGCTGGAGCAAGTGTTCTGGGAAGAACCAGTATGGGAGAGATGACCAGAAAGGAGGACAGCAGAATTTGGTCAGGTGAGGAGGGGTCGGTGGTGGTGGTGGGGAGATGCTTTTTGGGAAGGACTGATATTTGGGGTTTTGTAGAATGTCTAGGGGTCTGACAAACGAAAGGTTGAGAGCACTGTGGACAGAGAAAGCCATGTGAGGCCACAGATATTTAACTCTTTGGGAGGTGTCACTCAGGAACACCACAACTAGGGCAAAACATGTGGCATGATCAGGGCTCTGAGAGGAAGATCTGTTGGAGGCCTTTAGTGGGTGGTGGCAACTGTATGGGCAACACAGGTGGGGGTACAAGGGACCTTGGGGGAAATGTGGGTGGATCTCAGCAGTGGATGAGTTGCTTTAGGTGAGAGGTGAGGCCCATGGAAATGGTTCTGAAAGTGTGGCATTTCCGCTCTGCCTGTTCCAAGTAGACTGAATGCCCTGCCCTTTTTTGATTCCTACTGGGGGAGCGAGCTGGAGAGAATTGTGATCAGAAGCAAGGAAGGGGCTGGAGCTATATAGCACAAGAGGGTAGGGCATTTGCCTAGCACGTGGCCGAGCCGGGTTCGATACCCAGCTCCCATATGATCCCATGAGCACTGTCAGGAGTAATTCCTGAGTGCAGAGCCAGGAGTAACTCCTGAGCACTGCCGGGTGTGACCCAAAAAGCAAAAAAAAAAAAAAAAACAACCCAAAAGCGAGGAAGGGAGCCACTCGTTTCCTGGTACAGCAAGGCGTCCATCTACACAGTGCCATGTGGTTGGTCCTCTCTGCCCACATGACAGATGGGAAGACTGAGGCTGGGGCTGCTGAAGGCCATATGGTGAGAGGCTCCAGAACACCGAGCAGACTCTGGGCAAGGCCAGGACACAGTGGGGGCCTTTGATCTTCTTTATTCTTGCCCCCATGATAAAGCCTTTAGGACCTTCTGGGGAAGCTCTGGTGTCTTTGCTACCTGGTGCCACCTATGCACACAAGGACCCCTCTGGGCCTGAGGACATTTTCCTGCCCAGCTTTCCAGCCTTCCCTGGGGATCCCATGCTGGCAGGCACCACAGCTGTGAGACTTTCCCTGTGTGCAGGGGAAGAAGAGACTCAAGCTTCCAGACCAGCCCTGGTCTCCCTCCTTTGTTTCACCCCAGGATCCATCAGGTCAGAGGAGGCAGCTGATGATCGTCAGGTAGGATAATCCTTACCTGTTCCTCTACTCACAGGGCAGAGAGAGCATGATGATTGGAGTTGGTGCGACTCGTGATTAACTTCTCTGTGTGATTAGGGATTGCAGCAAACTCTCTGATTCAGAAAAAAAGAGGCAGCTGGGAGAGATCCTGGATGGATCCTGGGGTGTCCCTGCTCTCCTGGTTTGGAAATTTTTGTGCTCCCCAGTTTGCTAAGGTTCAGGGTCCTTCCTCTAACTTTGCTGAGTTAGGCTCTGGGCGAGCTGAGGGAGGATCTATCAGGGCCTGGTAGATCCAGACCAGGTGAGTGGTGCCCAGGTAGGTGACTGATCATATCTGGTCCAACTGGGGAAGGCAGAAATAGTGTCAGACCAGCTTTTCCGAACATTAAACCCAGATTTCCCCGCCCAATACTTGTGAGCACGATACAAAGGTTGGTTTAAGTCATTCATCAGGGAGCTGGTGGATGTGGGCCTCATAGAGTGTGCTCATTATTGCAAAGGGGGATGATGAAGAAAAAGATATTTGCACACATGAATAGAAAACCCAACAAGGCTGGTAGAGTGAAGTTACGAAGTTAATTGAGGCAGAGAGTTAGTACACTGAGGTAGGGTGTTTGCCTTGCATGCAGCCAATCCAAGTTTGATCCCCGGCATTCCATATGGTCCCCCAAGCACTGCTAGGAGTGATTCATTTTTTTCTTTTTTTTTAATATTTATTTTATTTTATTTTTATTAGTGAAACAAAGTCTCCAATGGAGACGTTACTGGGCCCGCTCGAGCAAATCGATGATCAACGGGAGGGCCTTTACCTTACCTTACCTTAGTGAAACATCATGAGGTACAGTTGTAGATTTACAAATTTTTGTGCTTGGGTTTCGGTTATACAATGATCAAATACCCATCCTTCCACCAGTGCCCATTTTCCACCACCATGGATAACATCCCTCCCCCCATCCCCCCATCCCACCCTGCCTCTGTGGCAGGGCATTCCCTTTTGTTCTCTCTCGCTAGGAGTGATTCTTGAGTGCCGAGCCACGAGTAATTCCTGAGCACTGGGTGTGACCCCAAAACAAAACAATACAAAAAAGTCATGAAGCTAATCAGCGTCCATCGGGGCCATAAACCACAGCCTCTCTCCTCGACCAGTCTGTGGGCCTTCTCCATGGGCCTTCTCCGTGTCCCGATGAGGGTCTGATTTCCAAGCCTGGCTGCCATGGCAGCAAACAACCACAGTCCCCTGTCCTCGGCATGGGCTGTGGATGGCTGGGAAGGAACTCTTCCTCTGAAAGACACATCTTTGGGCCTTATTTCAATGTTTCAGACATTTTATTTTTAACAGTAGGCAGAAACAGGGTGCAGCAGAGGAAGTCCAACCTGAGATACACATCCAGGTCCCTTACTCCCCTGTCCCTCCTGCCCAGGTCACCCCTTCCTCCGTTAGGAACCTTACCCTGGTTATCAGAGAATGACAGGTCCCTTCAGGATGGACATGGACTGGCGTGCCAGAGGAGCCTCTTTTCTTAAAACAACCCTGGGCCTTCTTTCATCCTCTCCCTAATCCTTAACCTGTCCCTTGATCTTTCCCCAGAGCCACCCCAGCACGCCCAGCCCAGCCCAGAGGCCCACCCTCCGACCTCCCATCTCAGTGACCCCTCAGACCTCATGCTCTGGGAGCAGCTCAGCTTCCCAGGGGAACATGGACATGAAGGCCCCTCCTGCCTGCCCACTGAAGTAGGAGATGGTTCTTGCCCGGCCCAGCAGTGGCAGCCTGGTACACGGCCCCTTCCCTGTCCCCTTTCCCCAGCTCTCAAGGGACATCCCTGTGTCCCATCATGAACTGCCCACACAGAGTGGACCCACTTCCTCCTCACAGAGGCTTCCCAAGTGGCCCCAGGGCTCCCTTTGCCCTTTCCACGGGCAACCTCCTGGAGGTCTCAATGGGAGGTGATCTGGCAAACATGGGCATGGGGCCCTGGGATCCCACTTATTGCGCTGGTACCAGCTTGTGTCTTGGGTTGAGAATATGGTCAGCCCAGGTAATGTGCTGTTGTCCGTGGTCAGGAGCAGCCCTATCTAGCCCACCAATCGAAGGGCCCAAATCAAGTCCCCTAGAAATGTGTTGCATGTTTGCTTGGGAGGTGGAAGAAGGGGCTGCACCCCCATAATCAGTGCAAAGATTGACAATGAGAGATAGATGTTTGGAGGACTCTGACAAGGAAGACTGTTTGTTAGTGTGTGTGTGTGTGTGTGTGTGTGTGTGTGTGTGTATGTGTGCGAATGCGTGAATGTATGCACATTTGTGGGCAGAGAGGATGGATCCTGAAGAGGAAGCAGTACTCAGGGATGCTGATGAGGGTGGGTGGGGGTAGGGAGGAAGAGCAACAAAGCTTTTTAAAAGATACACAGAGGGAAAAATCTAAATACAAACCCTGCAGCCTCTCCTCCCAAAGTGTCAGCTCACACCTCCTGAAATGTGAGCCAGAGACTCCCCCAGCCCCTTGCTCCACTCCCATAGTTTTGGCAGGACCCCCTGGAGACAATTAATTAATAAATCAGTGTTTGCCTTTCTCTTGGAAGAGTGATCCTCCCACCCCACTTCTGTAAGTGATAAGTGTTTCAGCTGAGCCCAGCAAGTTTTCTGGGACTGGAGGATTTGCTTTTATCAACACATGCCAATAAGCCTGTAATTTTATCAGTATAAAATGAGGGCATGGGTCTGATGACCTCATGTTGAGGCCTGCCAGCTCGACTCTGAAGCTCCGGTTCTATGGGTCCTGTGTCCACGGAAAGTAGCTTCCAGAACATCTGGACCTCCCTGAAAATAAGGAGGCATTGGAAACCACTCACAACCTCATGAGCCTTGGCCCCTATAGTTTAGGGAAAGGGTTGACAAAGGAATATTGTGAGGTACCACAGTGCCAGGTGGTCCTATGCTGGGTTGCTCCAGGGTCCACATTGGCAAGGCAGGTTGAATGAAAGAACTTCTCGTTCCAGAAGGAGCTATTGACAGACATCCCTGGCTACTCTTCAGCATTGTCATAAGCAGCATCACATCCTTAGATAGCTCTACAATCCGACAACCTACTAAACACTTTCCTGGATCTGGGCATCTTATGTGGAGACACAAACTCCCAAAAAGTGATAGGATGGAGGGTCACTATTGTTTGACAGAAACAATGGGTCAGAGGGGACATGTCAATTTTTCTTCTATGGCCAGTAGGTATTGGAGCCAGAATTTGAATCCAGGTCTCTGTCTTTGGTATCACATGTCTTGCCCCTGTATTCATCCAGGCATCTGCCATCCATCCACCAACCCATCCCTTCTCCAGCGGATGATGACTGCAGGCTCATTTCCTGCCGAGCCTACTGGTGGCTAGCATTGTTCCCTGTCAGTTAAGGGGGATCGTCTTCTCTGTCTGGAAAGATACACGTATGGAGCTCTCAGAAGCTCTATGAATATTTTATTTCCCTTCTGACCATTTCCTTGTTCCTTCTGCTCACTGCAGGCTTAATGTGGATCATTTTGGAGGCCCTTTGCACTCTGATTTCTAGAACCTTAACCCAGTGGACAGGGTTTGGGGGTAGAGAAGAACTGATGCTAACTGAAGGGGAGAAGGACTCTGACATCACTGGGCACAGCTAGGGTTGGCTCTGCGGAGGCATCTCACCCATGTGGCAATCATTCTTCACATCTTCCCAGCGGGATGGGCATGGTGAGTCTTGGGGCAATGGGCCAGGAAATAGCAATTCCTGGCCAGCTCATGATTGTAATGTCCTGACATGCCTTGTTAGCAGAGGACACTGGCCTGATGAGCTCAGCAGACATGTTTCTCGATGACCAGAGGTTCTGGACTTCAATGTCTTGCTGAGGCCAAGTGAAGAAAGGCAAAACTACAAAACTGCACCCTACCTCTCGAGTCCCACCGGCGTAAGTGGTGGGGACTGCACCAGCAGCCTGCCATGATTCTGAGCAGTGCTTTGGGGCCTCCTGGGAAATCAATGTTTCCTTTCCCAGGGAGGCATCAGGTAAGCATCGCTTATCTCTAGAGACAGGGCACCTGTACTAGTCACGGTGTTTGAGGACTTGGAGGAGAGAACCATGTCCACGCTCAGGCACCCAAGACCCCCAGAGGCTGCAAAATATGGGCACACACCGTGCTTTCATTGAGTGTAGGAGCGGAGGGTGGGAATCCAGGGAGCAGCACAGAATGGGAAGAAGCCCAGATCTGAACAGATGAACTCAGCGGCATTGATGCTTTGGGCAACTTCTGGTGGTGTTCAAGTCTGAGGGGCCAAGGCTCCCATACCCACCTCAGGGTCTCCTAACAGTTCCTCCATAAGCCGATAACTCTGTCTGCAGGAAGAGGCTTGGGGGTCATGGGGTCCCCAGAGATAACCAGTGTGGGGTGCATAGGCTGCCAACAGGGACTCCCAGGACATCATAATTGACATCAGCAGCATTTTCTTCAGACCTAGATGCAGAGTCAGGATTCGTCCTATACCCACGTGACTGACAGGCTGTGCCAAGACTCAGGTTGGCATGAGTGCTGTGACTAGTCTCTTAGCTGTCCCCCAACTGGCTGAAACCAACTTCACCCCCTGCCTCCCACGTTTCTGTTGTTGTTGTTGTTTGGGCCACACTCAGCAATGGTCAAGGCTTGCTCCAGGTTCTGCAATCAGGATCACTCCTGGTGGTGCTTGGGGCAGGGGGCATATGGGATGCCAGGGATCAAACCTGGGTTGACTGTGTGCCAAGCAAATGCGCTACCCACTGTCCAATCACTCTGGTCCCTCTGCCTTCCACATTTGACACTTGCAGGACAGGAGATGAGAAGATCACTCCTGTGTGTGTGTGTATGTGTGTGTTTATGTGTTGTTGTTGGTGGTAGTGGTGGTTGGTGAGGGGGGAGGGCAAGTGGCTGATAAGTGGTTTAGATCAGGAAGAGGACTGGGAGGTTCTGGGAGGAAACTTGTGAGATCAGGTGTCTCAGTCAAGGGTGCTAGGGTTCCTGTCCTAGAAAATTCCAGAAATGTTCTCAGTACTATTGCTTCTACTTTAGAAAACATTCCACTCATAGCCCTCACAGAATTAAAACCTTCCTCCATGTCTTGGGTCCTGGATTC